GAGGCCAGACGACAGCACAGCAGGCCCATTCCTCAGACGTCTTCCCACCCACGTATTTGTCAAAAGGGCGCAGAACCGTCGACGTCTGAACGACGCCTCGGATTAAACACACACCTCTGTTCTGTTATCTGTGCAGACGCCAATAAATAAGACAAAAAAAAAAAAAACAAACAAAAAAAAACTTTAGACCAAATTATCTACAAGACGATGTGGGATGTGGCCCATTAAAACTGGGCTGAATTAATCATCATCACAGAACAACACCATATAATTCTTTACACTTGAGGCACTGTTTCACAGATATATTTAACATCAGCAATTAAAGCACTGTTTTTTTTAAACCTGGGGGTCGTGACCTCACACATGGTCGCCTGAAATGTCAACTAATTGATACGAAATGTTCCGATATTAGTAACCCGACGTTAAGACGGAACAGTCTTAGAGTCTTTACTACGATCACACTTTGACTACAGTTACATTGGGGGAAAAAAAACACAAAAACCTGAATATATTGTTGTGCCAGTAGTACCGCAATATATCGCAATATATCGTATTGTTGCCCCTGTATTGTGGGTTGGTACGGTGCAGCACCTGCGACCCGGTAATGGATAAGCAAATGAAAATGGATGTTTCCTTTGTATCGTGATACGTATCGTATCGCCAGATTCCTGCCGATGAACGGCCCCTAATGATTTGATAATCATTTGTTAATTATTCCCCGGGGTGAGTTATTCCACCATCACCGTCGCTGTCGTCAGACCAGGGCGAACGCGCAGCTCCTCTTCGACACCAACATTCCGGCCGGTCTTAGAGCCAAGAACGATGCCACAGTGAATAAGAGTCAACGTAAAGCATGAAAGAAATCAATACAAACACAATAATGTTGTAATCCTATCTCCATTACAGCGTGCACTCAGCAACCTGTCTCACTGAGGCAGAATTAAGACATCCAGGATCACAGAGGACATCAGTCTCCATCCTGCCCACTCAGCTCCCAGACCGGACCAGGTGAGTCCATCTCATCCGAGTGCCGGAACGCCAGTGGATCCGGTTTCACACCGAGTCATCAAGGCGATGGGAGCGCCGATAAACGGCCGCACGTGAGGACGTACAACAGTAAAAACTGACAGAACGGCAGCCGTCGTTAAAGAAGCGAAGACGGCGTCGGTCGCCAAACAAAAACAACGCCGTCAGATTAGAGTCGTCTGTGATAATAGCGGCCGCTCTTTGATCCGACTGTTGTTGGAACCGTAATCACTTTGATGTCGTCGTGGATCCCTTTAAAGAACAAAGGCTCGCGCTGCGTCCGAGACAAAAAGAAGACAACGGTCTATAATTACACGCTAGCCAACGCTGAAGACAACAAAAGAGCTAGAGGGTGACCTTTGACCCCACCGTCTCCCAGACTATAAATGTATAGAGATAGTATAGTATTTACGCAGCCACCGAATGTCGATCAAATATGTTTTCCGACTGCACGACAAAACGTCAAACCACAGCACAGAGGAGAAAACACGTCCATCCAGACGGCGGAGACCTGCAGGCTCTCCTCGACGTGATTGGTTGGAGATTGATTACGGGTCAATACGGAGTCAATGACCATCGACTGATTGTGTAATTAAAGATGATAGATTGACCAATAAATGTTTCCAGGGTTTCCAAAGTGAGGCGTGGATGCACTGAGGCAGACAGAAATATTAGCATACGAGCTAACAACGGCTAACTAGAGCTAACGGAGCGCGTCAGGAGAGACGGCGCTTGTCAAATAGAAAGTCTCGGTAATAATAATGGTATCTGCAACTAGTACACAGGTACAAATGGCTTATAGTACACTGTGTCCTACTGGCTAACTTGAGCAATACACAAAAAAATATATTATTACAAAAAAAAGTACAACCAGCGGTGCCTTAAATATCTTTGAGTTTGGACTCAGCCTGACGTCTCATTGTCCTGTAATAAAAACTAAGGTTAACTGAGTGACGGGTCAGTACTACAGTACAGCCCGCTGCTACCATGACGACGACACTGACTAAAGCCAAAAATCACCAGTCGTGGCTCCAGCCAGCGCGGCTCAGTTCCTGGCAGCAGGCACCGGAAAAATGACCTCAAATGTTTTATACCTGCTGAAAAATTAGAGGAAACCAGAGTTTTTTTTTTTGACCCCCAGTTGGAGAAACAGTTTCCTTCATGAAGAAACATGGCTGATGGTCCGGGGACAGAGACTGGACGGGTTTGGACAGTCTGGAGGAAGACCTAGAAGAGCATCAAATACATGCCTAGACCCCTAGTGGCCGTCTGCGGGATCTGAGTCTGACAGGACTAGACGGGGTCAGGGGTCGTCTCTGTCAACTCAATATAATACAAATAAACGCTGCAATAAATAAACATGCAGCAGGGCGGCGTCAAACGTGCATCACTTCAGCAGTTGAAGTTTTTTTTTTTACTATTTTTTTTTCGAACAACATGAAAATCAAATTTTAATTGCGTTTATGATGAATCCATCTACAGCTCTGGAAGCTAATTAACAAGTGCCGTAAAGACGAGGCGACGCCGACTGATTACCAACGGGGGCTCACGTCTACCGCGCGTTATGTATTGTTCATTATTCGTGTTCAACTCGTGACTAATGGCACGCGGCAAAAGCAGGAAGCGGCGTCCCGTGCCGTTGAACAGCGGGACGTTCTTCACGTCGGGTCGTGTGAGCGCCGCTCTCCATCCTTCAGGTCCGGCACTTATCCTTCATCATGGCGAGCAGCTCTGCTGACTGACTGCCCGCGCTCGGGCTTCGTTTCTATGTTGTTACTCTGTGATGAAGTGCTGAAAATAGCAGCGGATACCGAGTTTTTTATTGAAGAAGGCGCCGGTTCAGAACATCTGTCTTCAGACTGCGACGTTAATGACAAGGATCTGAAGATGAAATATTCCCGGGGCTTGGATGTACTTGAAAACTTCAGCAAATATTCCGTCTCCGTTGCTATAAAGTGTCAACTGTGCAGCATCGGACCACCTGAGTAAATAAGACCAGCCTTAAACTGGAGTTACAGCCCTGTCGTGGCGGGTGGGAGTGTACAGCCCCCCCCGCCCCCTCCCCACCTGCCCCTGATGTTTTTACCCTCATTTGAAGTAACTGCACATCCCGACCAATCTGCCTCCTCTCGGGGGGGTGGGGCGGGGTGGGGGGGGTTAATAACAGATTACTTTGCCTGGCCTCGTGGCGCCGGGACAGGACCAGACCTCCCGCTCCTCTCTGGACCATCGGTTCAAAGATATTACTGAGGGGGAAACGTGTGCTGCGAAGGTTCCCAGAGACAAGAAGAAAGACCGTACCTGTGGAAGAGGACGGACTTCACCAGGGTCACCACGTCACGGCTGGCGTTGTAACCTGCGCACACGATGGCCACGTGGATGGTCTGTGGAGACGGAGGCAGCGGTTAGAGAACGGGAACATGACAGAAAATCATTCTTCAAAAAAAAAAACTGATGATCACGAAAAAAAGAAAAAAAACTCACAGAAGAAGTACTTCCACTGAGGAAGTATCAGAGTATTTGTCTCACAGAAATGAAGTTAAGGGCGAGCAGCGCCGCTTCTGACGTTAGCAAAATAATTCAGGTAATCGTCGACAAAGGCAGCGATTAAAACAAATTCACATTCATAAAAAAATAATTTATAAAAGAACTAAAAACTGAAACTAACTGAAGTAAAAATTTATAAAAGAACTAAAAACTGAAACTAATTGAAGTAAAAAGTACTAAGAACTTCATCTTCATCATAACGGCACCGTAGTACTTTTAAAGTACCAGTACTTCAAGGTTACACTGTTACACTTGACAGTAATATAATTATATTAACTATAATATTTTGAATAAATTCACCTTAATCTCAAATACGTACGAATACTGATCCCAATCAGGAATTAATCGTTGGTTCAACTCCCAACAAATCTTGGTCGTCAAGTGTCACCTTGAAAAAAAAAAAAAAAAGAAATCCAACCCACAACCCTGGACAAACAAACTCTTAATTTCCGAACTCTCCAGGTCATTTCGTCCCTGACCTTCTGTGAAGTAGAAATCCAACCCACAACCCTGGACAAACAAACCCTGACCTTCTGTGAAGCGAGGAAGTATCAGAGTATTTGTCTCACATTGTCAACACGGAAATGAAGTTAAGGGCGAGCAGCGCCGCTTCTGATGTTAGCAAAATAATTCAGGTAATCGTCGACAAAGGCAGCGATTAAAATAAATTCACATTCATAAAAAAATAATTTATAAAAGAACTAAAAACTGAAACTAACTGAAGTAAAAATAAGTACTAAGAACTTCATCTTCATCATAACGGCACCGTAGTACTATTAAAGTACCAGTACTTCAAGGTTAAACTGTTACACTTGACAGTAATATAATTATATTAACTATAATATTTTGAATAAATTCACCTTAATCTCAAATACGTACGAATACTGATCCCAATCAGGAATTAATCGTTGGTTCAACTCCCAACAAATCTTGGTCGTCAAGTGTCACCTTGAAAAAAAAAAAAAAAAAAAATCGTCAAGTGTCCCCTTGAAAAAAAAAAAAAAAAAGAAATCCAACCCACAACCCTGGACAAACAAACCCTGACCTTCTGTGAAGCTCTCACCTTGTTCCAGACGGCGTTGAACCCCCAACATTTCAATACGTTTATTTATTTAATTACAGCCTCCAGATGAACCTGAGTGCAGGAAGTTTGGGAGGTTTTTTGTTGTTGTTTTTTTTTTGTTTTTTAGCTGAAACTCTCACTGCCTGTGCAGCCTCGGGGCCATGAGCCACAGCGGTTGGCGTCTTGACCTTTCAAAAGTCCAAGTGTATTTTCTTTACTTCTCTTCTTAGAGTTTCTTCAGCAGCAGGTGCAGAGGGTCGTGTTCAAATGCTACAGTCTGGACGGCGGCTCCACTTTCCCTGCAGTGGGCCGCAGCCCAACACTGCGGTGTAAGCACCACAAATATATATATATAAATATATATATATATATATGTGCCTGGATGTATTTGTGATTGACAGCTGATGTAAAAGGGAAACTGAGAGTGGTACGAGGAAAAATACAACCCGAGGTGAAAGGCTATCTGGGAACAACACGCAGCAGTCGCAGCGATGGCTGCTCTGACGTTAGCTAGCGCTAGTCTGATCTAATAAACGTGGAGAGGCTGGTCGGAACCGTGATGTTGAGCAGTCGGAATGTCTCGCATTCCTGTCGATGCTTCCGTCTGGACTCAGACAAAAACAGCTCAAAGTTTGTTTTTTTTAATTTAAATCCTTCTCGTCTTTCCTGTGTTTTTATGCTCATCGTTTTTTCGTCTCGTGTCGTTGCTCCTTCTGACGTGCTAACGTAGCGTATCCGTAGCCTCGTGTCAATCAGACACAGACTGGACACCTCTTAAAAATCTGCCTGAGAATCAATCGTGATTTGTAATTAAATGATGCTATCGTTATGCTAATGCTAAAGCAATTAATGCGAACATTATTCAGGAGTGATCCTTCAATAATAATGACGTCATGTTTATTATTTCTATAAGGACATTTGTTTTACAACTTATTTGGCTTTTTAAAAAAATATAATTATATACAAATATATTTACATAAATATATACATACAATACATGTATGTATATATTTATGTAAATGTGTGTACACATGTATATACATACAATACATGTATGTATATTTATGTAAATGTCTGTATATATGTATATGTTTTTATATATACATATTTATTAATATAAAATGACTGAACATTTTCACTCGCCTGTATATATTTGGATATATGTGGGTCAGGACTGTCATTATAAATTCAAACTGCCGTCCGTCTTTTGTCTTTTTTTATTTGAACTTCCAGGGGTCATGAGGTCATTCAAAGTGGTATTGTGTTGGAGTGGAGAACGGTTGAAAGTGACGTGTGGAGATAAATCTTCCACACTCTCATCGACACCTTCAGGCAGAGCGGAGTCTTCCCAATTAGCCTGCTTCTCTTTGAAGTGTCTTTGAAGACGCCCGAGGACGGAGACACGCGAGGAAGTGTCTTTGAAGACGCCCGAGGACGAAGACGCCGAAAAAAGGCCGTCAGGTTCACCCTCTGAACGGCGACGCTGTGGGCCCGTGGTGCCCACCGCTGCACCACTGCACCGACAACTCAAAAGTGAAAAAACCAGAGCCTGATTGTTCTGATTAGCATCCTCAGAACCCGTTAGCATGACCAGTTTCCCGGTTGCTCTTTAGCCGTCTGGACAGATTGGTACTGAGAGGTGCTATCAGTGCAGGGATCACTGAGCCACCGCGTTAAAGCCCTCACATCATCCAGCTCTTTCAGAGGGAGCCATATCCCGACGGCAAACCAACACCATCACTGATAGAAGATTGCGCTAACAGGCTAAAACAGCCTGTAATAGCTTCTTACAGTAAACTAATGGCACTCTGGTTCCTGGAAAACAGCTCTGAGGTCAGCTATATATAAAGAGGCTCTGAGTGCTCTGCCGTCTGTGAAGCCGTAATAGCAGCACAGGCCTTCATTTTTTTTTTTTTTTTTTTGTTTACAAACTGTCACACCGTAGCGAAGGGCTCCAAACGCGTCTCACTCTCACCTCACATTTATCCACCACCGGCTGCTGAACGCAGTCCGAGTTGTTCCCGACCGCGGCCGCTCTCTGGACCTCGTTGTCACCGGTGCCCTCCTCGGAGTGAGCTCGACTCTGGTTGCCGCGGTGGCCGGCGTAGGGGGCGTGCGCCGGTTGGCTCCTGGGCGCCTGGCTCAGCTCCCGGCGTAGAGCCCTGTTCTCCTCCTCCACCGCACGGACGCGCAGCTCTAAGGCCTGCCGCTCGCCGCCTCCGCCCGACACCGTTGGCGCCTGGACCTCGAGCGGAGACAGTGGGAGGGGCTTGACTGCGGGTGGGACAGAAAAGAAAAAAAACAAGATTTAATTAAAGGAAATGAAAATGAGACATCAGCGCCACCTAAGATGTTTAATAATGCTAATGTGATACAGTAGCAGCGCGTTGTTGGACGGAAGCAATCAGCGACGAGGAGCCCTCGGGCCTTGACCTTCAGAGAACATCTGCATTTTAAATGTTACATTTTAATCTTTTTTTTTATTTCATTACCACCGTCCATGAGTTCAGTCTAAATTTAGACTAAGTTTTTTTAAATTAAAATTAAAATGACCAAATAAATGAAGTACTTTTTCACATGTTGGTGGGTCCAGATCCAACCATGTTCTGGGTCTCAGAACAAAAGAAACCACACGGTTGTCAGTCTACAGTTTAACGACGTCACAGTTGAAAACTGTTTGAATTCATCTGAGGTCAGGTAGAAAAAACAAAAATGTGAAACAGAGAAAATACACAGAGGCAATGCTAATGCTAACCTCAAAAAACATTTACACTTGATATCACTTTGCTGCTGTGAAGGTTGTCGGTTCAAAGCCCTTCTTGTTTGCAGGTTTGGACTTAATTAGTTTAATTTTGTAAATACTTGGAGATTTTATTTCAAGATAAGGGAAAGAAAAACCATTCTGAAGTTTTTTCACGTAGAGTTCCAAGAGAAACTGTGAACCTGCAGACAAACCTAAGGCTCCATGTACGTGTTGGCTTCACGCACGTCAAATGTTGGTTCCACATAATATGGCAACAACATCGGACGGATGGCTCTGCACATTCATCCAACTTTGAAAACAATCATTTCTCAGCTGATGAATTTATAATTTGGATCCTTCTGGGTCGTGACCTCGCCGCAGCTTTAGAGAGAAAACGTTTCAAACGTGACGTGACTGCCGTGAAAACGACACTCGATGCTTCAGAGATTACAAAGTTTCGTGGGGAGTTGAACCTGGAATAAACTGAAATCCCAGCAGAGGCACGGGCGCTGGTTCACATTAGTGTCGACGGACACGGATATCTCCGGATCGATACTTCCTAGTACTAACAGAAAAGCAGCTCGCACTCAGTGTATCCACATCAGGAGCAGTTTCCTCCTCCTCCTCCTCCTCCTCCTCCTCCTCCTCCTCCCAGTATGAACAGGCAGCTCTTACTCTCTTCAGAGAGAGGAGACGGAGAGCGGGGGGGGGGGTCTTGGAAAAGCTTGTTTGTGGACCATTAAAGAATACCGTAGGTGATCTATGCAGAATCTCAATGGGCAGAGGAGCCGACTTTGGAAGGCTGCGGTCCTGGCAGGGAACCAGAGGCATTATGGCTCCAATTACGTGTATTGATCTGTGCTAGAGAGAAAAGAGGGCTTTCCAGTATGATACCATCTGTCAAACCACTTCCACCGGTTGCTTCCAGGCAACTGAAGCACCTCCAGATACACGGAGCCTCCTCCTAATACACCAGGGTTCTTTATCATGTACTTGATATGTTTTTTTAATGAAGTAACTAATGTATATTTATAAGAAGGGTTGTTTTTGAAAATACCAATCTACATAAATTAGAATCAGAAGCTACAAAGGTAATAATACAACATGTGTCATGATCTTCTAGTTTCAACTTCAGTGTGAAAACCTGTTCCTCTTTAGTTGAACACAACGCTGATTTACTCATAGGAATTGAAAAAAATACATAAAGAAAGGTAAGAAATCTAAAGTAAAAAAAATTTCATTTTTCTTCCTGTGGTCCAGTATCACACGATCAACCTGGAATTCCCTGGTCTGATTTATCAATAATTTGTTGACCCCTATGCAGTACTTTTGCAGCCCCCCAAAGGGTTGTGCACCTCATATTGAAGACCACTGTACTACAGTACATGCATGGTAATGTACAGGTACGAACAACAGAGACAAAGAGAAGAGTTAGCTATTACAACGACGACGCTGCCAAAAGGTTTGTCATCTTATTGCATAAATACATAATCAAATATATACGGTATATGAACTTGGAATATAAATAGGTCAGACCATTCTTTCTCTTGTCTTCTGCCCACAGAGAGGGTGACGGCGTCGAGGGCCGCTAAGCTATCGCACAGAAAAACCAAAGTACCTTCTGGATTCCGCTGGTTCCAAGCTGTAATTAATTTCCAGAGTGGATTTGCGGAGACTAATCCCAGTGAAATGGACTCCATGACCATTTGTTTGTGCTGCTCAGAAATTGCATATGGCATTTTCCGAGCGGCAGATGCACCTGGTCCTTTGTGCGGCCGAGCCAATTCCATTTGGCTCTGAGGGATTTCTCAGGAAGCTCATTGTCTACGTGACAACAGAAGTCTCTGCACAAGACATGGATCAAACGTCCTCGGCCGACGACAAGACGAATGAAATAAATGGTACGTCAGCTAGGTGGCAACAAAGTTAGCGACGCCTGAAAGATTTCCGCTGGTCATTCGTCTACACCTCGTTTACAGCAGTGACTCCCAATCACCGTCTCGACCAGCGAAAATGATGCAATTTCACTTGATTGGTCTGAAGATGATTTTGTCTTTGTTCGTCTATGCGACAGTGACAGCCGAAATATTAAATACTACTCCACTAGGTGGCAACGGATGGCATATGAAATCTATTAAAAAAGAGAGAGAGAAAGAGAGATGTTGGAAGAAATGTGCCTTTCTTCAACTCCTGCTGGTAAATCAGTGTTGTGTTCAACTAAACAGGACCAGGTTTCACACTGTCCACACAAATATAAAAAACACGCAAACCTGAAAAACACGCAAACTCCATACAGAAACCATCAGTTCGGACCAGTGATCTGTTCCAAGGCAAGAACACAAAGCCAGAGAATTTATTTGCGAGAGGGAAATATTCAGCGGCTCCACATTAGAATAAAAGCTTTTATGTCCCCCTGGTGTCAAACCGGTGTTGTTTCTCTTCTTCTTTTATGTGCACGCTTCTTGTTTTATGAAATCCAACGTCCCAACGCCTCATGTTTTTTTTTAAAGGTAGCTGAAATCAACAGCTGCCCCCTCGACGAGAACATGACGTAAACATAAATAAAGACGCAGAGCAAACAG